CTAATTTATAACTAATTTCCACCTGAAATTCACTCGTTAACCTTCTTGTAGATTCAATCTTTGGAGGAGTAATTTGCTGACCTGCCAATCGAGCACCCTCTGCTGCTGCAGCAGCAATGGCAGCATCTTGATTTGTATAGCTTGACTGTAGAAGTGAAAGATATAAAGGACTTTTCATTTTTTTGTTTTGCAAAGAAAAATTAAAATGAAATTGGATAAAAACGAAAAGAAAGTTCTGATAAATAAATATCTTTATTTAATTACATCACGTGTAGGTGGGAAGTGGAGGACTAATTAGGCGCCTGCTGTTTGATCTCAATAATATTTTCCTGTTTATATTTTTTGTATATTAAAGAATATTCACAAATTATATTGGACCTCGCTGTCCTTTAGTTTCTGAAAAATTGTGGCTTATAATGAGGTGTATCTTAAATAGAGGGTATCGTCTAATTGTAAGTAATAGTCTATCTTAAGGTGAGATCCTCTCAGAGAAAGTAAAGGCTTTGAGAAGAGTCAGCGTCTAAATATCTACTAAATCCCCCTCCCCCCGTTTCCCTCAATTATCTCTCCACCCTCTCAAAAACCTTATAATGAAGTGAAGGTAAGTCAGATAGACGTCTCCGTTCCTGGCTCATTTGTGTGCTTGTTTTTATATTTTTTTGTCGTTAATTTTATTTGGTAGTTTTTATTTTTTTATTATTTGACGCCTGTCGTTATTTTTATTGCTTGTTTTTTTTTATTTTCAAAAACAAAAAGGCTAAAAAAAGTAAAAAATATTGGAAGGATTATTCAAGCATAGGGAAGAGGTAAAGAAGCACCAAAATAGATGGGAAATTTAAAAAAGAAGAAAGGAGTAATGGCCCTAAGGGAGGGAGAACATGCTTTTTGAGGGGTGAATGCGGGGGAGTTTTATAAATATTTAGTTGAAAATGAGTAGGGGTAGGGGGTTTTTTAAATAAAAATAAAAATTGAAGTAGAGAATAAAATATGAAAAAAATTATTAGAAAAAAACTATGTATAAGAGCATTTTTATTCCCAAAAATAGTTTTTATTATCCCATTCTCAGATATTGTATTCAGCCTAAATAACTAAAATTATTAACAAAAGTGATCGAAAAGTAGTTTACTTTAATTAGTGATTACCGTAAAACCTTTATTAACTACCCTGGATAATTATTGTTTCGACCTTCCGCTGAAGGGAGTAATTATTTGAGGGAGGGTAATTATATGAGGTTTGAAATTTGATCGTGTTTGAGGACATTTGTTGAGGGGTAATTATTATTTCAGTCGATCATTGGAGGGGTAATTAATAGAAGTGGGGTAATTATTTGAGGGAGGGCAATTAATACAAGTTATACCGTATATAAAACATTCATTTTTTAAATTTAAATTTAAAATGGTTGACTGTATTTTCTAAGAAAATATTTTTTTAACTCTCAAAAATGAAACAAAAAAAGAAGAAAGTATTAATGAATATACGTTAGTAGATAAAGCAATTCTTCTTTTTTTTTAAAAAAGGCAAGCTTCCGACTCTTCTATAAAATCAGATTATGGCTTAAAAAAGCAAAGAATGAAATACATCAATAAATTTTAGTATATGCCAAAAATGGAAGAAAAAAAATTTTTTTTTCTTTTGTTTGATGGTTATAGTTTCGAAAAAAATATTTATCAAAAATGAGAAGGAACTTTTTTGTTTTAATGTGAAATGACGAGAGATTTATGTATCATCCCGTGGGTATAATATTTTAAGATCCTAAACCAAAACTATCAAAGTTGGAGAAAATTTTGAGAGAGGACTTTTATGAGCAATCCAAGGACAAAATGGTGTAAAGGAAAGATTTATACTTCAACGACTAATAGGACGAAAGTTCGATTCCATTTTTGGAAAACGATTTTTTATTTTGTAATTAATGGAAAATAAATAACAAAAAAGCGAAATAAGCACAAATAAAAATTCAACAAATCATCTGGTTAATATAAAAATAATTATTAAGCATGGCAATCAGTGCTGTCCCTAATCAAAGAAATTTTAGGTAGATGAACTAGCAATTCTATTTTTAAGATCCTCGGCCGAAAATCATATATTATGTTTCAAGACAGTAAACATCTTTATAAATAGCTACATCCTAATAACATTTTTATCGCGCATTAAAAAGTAATATACATAGACATAAACAGCCTCTCTATATTTAAAAATACCCAAAAAAATATTTATAGGTTACTTTAAAAGATGAAAACAAAAACATCTTTTATAAAATGTTTTTAAAAAAGAAAATATTTAGGGGATATATACATTAAAATATTATAAATGCTGGCACAAGATGAGGCAAAAAATGAAAAGAAATATAAAAAAATTCTATGTAGACATTAACAAAAAGAGCATTGGCACAACAAAAAATAAATGGCCCCAAAATTGTTTGGCCATTTATCGGCCATTTCTTTTTTTAAATTCTTTGAAGCAAAAAATAATTCCAATCCTTATTAAATTGCTATTTTCTTTTTTTATAAAACAAATTTAGTTTCCAATATAAAAATTCTTGTTCCCAAAAGAATTAGAATCGAGGCTAATTTGGAAAGAAATTGAAAAATAAAAAGGGCAAAAATAATGTTTGGATAAAAAATTAATTTATTTGCTTCCGCAGAGGTAGAAGGGAAGGAGGGGGTGCTTAAGAAATACTCCCAACTTTATTATAAGATCTTGTAAGGATTAATAATCAAAAGAAAGTGATCAGCTTGTTATCGAGAGGGGAATGAACCTCGTCTGGAAGATCAAATTTTTTTAGTAGTTTCAATTTTAAAAGAAGACAACAATTTTGAGAGGGAATAAAAAACATTTTTTAAACACTTCAAAGGAAAATGAATTGCCAGCCTATAAACTTCCTTGGCTCGTGTCAACTTTCATTTTTTAAAAAATTTCCCATCTAATTCATCTTTCGCCTTTTTTTAAATAAATTTTAACAAATCACACACCTCTCTCCCTTTTAATTTTCTCTTATTTTTTTTTGTCAAAATCCAAATATTTTTCCTAAAATATTTTAGAGACAAAAGCTTTTTTGTTTTAAAAGAAGCAACTGTTAAAAGAAATTAAAATAGAAATTCTCTAAAACTCCAAACTTTAATTCTTTAACATTAAATTCTTAAAATTCAGGTGACATATAAACCGAAAATGTCAAAAAATCAAAGCACAGATTTTTTGCAACATTTTAAAAATAAATTTAGTTACCTATATTATTTGTAAATTGTATTTTTAGAAAAGTCTGTCATTTTTGAGAAAATGCTAAGGAAATATCTATTTTGCAAAATTATTTGTGGTGTTAGGGGAAAAATTTAAATTTGATAATTTAAAGAATAACAAAAAAATTCGGTGTGCGGATATATCGGGATTGAGGTGACAAAAATAATTTCGTGCATGTTTACGTTTGTTCAAAACATAAAAACTCTATTCCTCAAGCCACTGAGTTTTGGATATCCCTTACTCAATTCAACATTATTAATTGAATTATTTGTCTTTGCCCGTCCCCGCAGTTAGCCCGATATCCTTCAATAGGAAAATATATTATCCAAAACTCAGTGGCCGTAGGTCCCGAAATCAGTAGGGTAACTGTTCGTACATTGAAATATCACAATATGTCCTATCGATATGTCCCGCGTGCCAAAAAATTCTACTACTTAATTCCCCGCAGTTAGCCCGATATCCTTCACAAAATATAATAAAAAATTTTTTTAATATTTAAACAAACAATTTATTATTTAAAAAATAAGGACATAAAACCAACCAACACAAAAATCCAAAAAAATGTAAAAAATAAAGCAAAATTCTAATTCTTTTTGATTTAAATAATTCAACATCATCAATCAATGGCACTCCAAAATTATTACAAATTGAATGGCAAATAAATGGAGAAATTATATTCCCTTAAAATTAATTTAAAATTTTTAAATAAGTTTTCTGGTAGATCGACATTAACAGACTGACATTTGACACAAAAACCTTCAATTTACAGCTAAAAACATACAATACTCTACTACCAAAACTAAATTCAATTCAACATTATTAATTGAATTGTTTGTCTTTGCCCGTAAATATCGAGGAACTAATTTTTCAATAAATTTTAACCTGTTTGAAAGAATATATATGTTGCATATAATCCAAATAAATAGGTGTAGAGCATTTGAAAAACTTTAAAATTAAAAAAAAATGAAAAATATTTTAGGAAATTTATTGGATGCATAATAAAAGTACTCCAAAATTTAAAAAAATAAAAAAAACCTCTAAAAGCAAAGGCATTAGATAATGAAATTCCCCTTTTTCTATCCTCAATTAAATGGTGAATATGTGAAAATGAAAAACTCTGAAAAAAAAATAAATTTTTAATAAAAATATAATTTAAAAACAAACAATTGGAGCAACAAAAATAGTCAAATTATCTCCCAAACAATGAGCTAATAATGGAACAGAACAAGCACGAAAAGAAATTTCTTCAGTTATTGGAGCCTTAAAAATGAATATTTTAAAGAAAAATACTTTTCGGTTATACGCCCTTGCTTTTTTTTCCTTTTCTCCAAAATATTACGAAAGGTCAAAGATAAATTTCTTCGAAATTTCTTTCGTGGTAAGGAATTTAAATTTATTTAAGAAAGCAATCTTTTGGAATGGAGAAAATAAAGGGAAGAAAAGGATAAAAAGTGGGGGCCGATAACCAAGAAATAACAAAATATTTTTTAAATTTTCCAACCATAATTGATTGTCTAATCCACAAAATATCATTAAATTGCTTCCAAAAACCGAAAAAAAATATTTAAATTAAATTTAAAAAATTAAAATAAAACCTTTAAATTGAAGATTTCCATCAATTATTAATGTTGCTATAGTTCCCAAATAAAATATTAAAGTAAGTAAAGATGGCAATAAAATGGCAAAAAATAAATTATTTGAGCGAAATCCCATTTGAATAAAAGGATGATCATAAAACTGGAAAAAGAATTATTTTTAAAAGTGTTTGAATTATATCTCAATTAAGGGCCTGTTAGACAGCAAAAAGTCTGAAGGGATTTTTAAAAAAATTCTGAAGGATTTTTTCTGAAGGGAAAAAGTCTGAAGGGATATATGTAAGAAGATGAAGACTTCTCGAAAATTCAACCCAAAACTTGAATAACCCAAAACAAAATGGAGTCCTAAAAACAATAAAATTGCGCCTAAAAAGTTTATTCAGACGGAGGCTCGTCCGAAAACGGCAACTCTAATTACAATTTTAAAAAATTTTAAAAATAAATTTACCACTTCAATTAATTGATAAGTTAAAATAATCCCAAAAAAATTATTCAAAAAAGCAACTATAAAACGTCTCCAAACATTTGGAATATAATCCCTCGATTTATTGTGGTCATAAAATGTATTTATTGAAAGAACATAAGCAAATTGAACTAAAAATCCACCAACAAATAAGAAGGTAGGGCATTCTTTCATAAATCTGATGAGAAAATAAATTAAAGAATTCTCTTTAATGTAAATAAAATGCTCTACATAACTATACTTCCACCGACATTTTTACGTTTTTTCTATTATATTAGATGTCGAAATTTTTATAAGCTTCGAGTGTTTTTCGAACCATCTCTTATGAAGAAAATAAAAGTGGAAGTATATTTATGGAGCATATAAAATAATTAATATTTATACCTCTATTAAAGTCAAATGCCACTTAGGTACGCCCCTGAGGTCTAAACAAATTTCCAACTTAATTAAATTCAAAACATTTTTTTACAAAATAAAAGTATTTTAATTTTTTAAATAAATTAAATCAAATAAACCAATTAATTAATATTTATTTATCTAAAAATCTTTATAAAATAATTTATAAATCTAAAAAAAATAATTTAATCAAAAATATATCTCTGTTATATACCTATTTAAAAAATAAAAAAATTCTAAACCTCAATTGCTTTTATTTATCCAAAACTCTCTGTACCGACTCTCTCAATATTTTTATTGTTTCACAAGGATTTGGTGAACGAATAATTCCAGTACCAGAAACAATTAAATTAGCACCTAAAAAATAAATTTTTTAAAAATTATTAAAAAAACCAAACCTGCATTAGCACATTCTTCAATATTTTCAATCCCAACCCCTCCATCTACTTGAATATTTAAAGAAGGATATTCTTTTCTTATTATTCTAACTTTTTCAAGTTGGTCACTCATAAAGCTTTGTCCACCAAAACCCGGCTCAACAGTCATTACTTAAAAATAAATTTTGTGTGAATATTTTTGTATATTATTGGCAATGAAAATTTAATTAATCGGATTAATGTCAAAATCGGGGCCGCAAACTATAGTATAATTATGCATAGTAATTTATAGAATAGCAAGTCAATTTTGGTACCATCTATGCAACCCGACGGTATACGCCAAATTATACCAAAAGATTCTTATCATTGTTATTTAAAAACCATAAAAATATTAAAAATCGATTGTATAGATTTTTATGAAAATTTTAAACTATAAAATAATAGGCACAGACGAACACCCGGGAGGGCTAAAAATAATTTTTTACTAGAAATATTAATTGCTTACTCAAAGCTGTATCAATTTCCTTTGCAAATTTCAGCATATCTTTAACCTTAAAATAAATTAATTTTTAAAAAATAAATCGAAAAAAACCTCAGTTTTTGGTTTAATAGCCATTCCACATTTTAAATCCAAAGATTTAATTTTATTAATTAAAGAAAACACTTTGTCGTCTTCTCCACTAAAACACGGAGCTTCGAGATGAAAAGTAAATTGATTAATTCCTGCTTTGTGCATAGGAATTAGCCATTGTTCTGGATTAGAAACCATTAGATGGACATCAAAAAACTAAAAAAATATTTAAAAAATTAGTATGTAAAATTTGTTGTAAAAGAATTCGGCATTTTTAGGATTTTTTGCGGATTTTCTTTCAAATTTTCTCTCATCTAATCGATTAATATAAATTTTTCTGTCGTATAAATTTAAGAGTTTAGGCAAAGTGGTTATTTCTTCACATAAAATATGTATTATTCAGAGCAAAAATTCTCATATATTTTTCAAATTTAAAAAAAACATACAGGATTAGGTCCCAATTGTTTCCTCAAACACTCAATTAATGGATGTCCAAACGTTAAATTCGGCACAAAATGACCTTTTTAAATTAAGAAAAAAGATAAAACAATTCTCTTACCATCCATTACATCCAAATGTAAAAAATCAGCCCCACAATTTAACAATTTACGAGACTTAAAAATTAATTAATAAAGATATACATAAATTAAAAAAAACCTCATTAGCAAGTTCAGCAAGGTCAGTATTCAATATTGATGGACAAATAATAGCACGTAGAGACGACATAATTAAATTCTTGTCTTATATAATTGGAAAATTTTTCTTTATTTGAAAAATATTTAATATGTGACTGATAATTTCGTCAATAATGAGTTCGTCAATTATATATTCGTCAATGATTATTCCGTCAATAAAATAGCGCCAAATTTAAATTGTTTCAGTTCGTCAACGCTAAGAACTTTTAAAAAATATTATAACTATTTTATTAGTTATGGAACCTCTTCGGAAAAATTATTGAAGGTTTTTCAAGTAAATTGTCAGATCCGGATCCGAAAAAGGCCAAATATCTGGAAATTGTTGGTTCGGATATCGAATCCGGATATTCGATATTTTCGGATCAGATCCTAGGGTTAGGTAAAATGCAAATAATCTGGTTCTTCGAGCTTCCATAATTCAAAAAATTTTCGCCTTGTCACAGAAAAATGAAAAAATTTGACTGTTATTCTTCATTATTTCTCAAAATTTCTACCTGCGGCGCGTGTTTACAACTTTAAGGGAATGTTGATGTATTTGGAGGTAATATCTTAGGATCAAGGTTACTGGGATTCGAGGGGATTGTTTTGAAAAGTGAAAAAAACGTAAAAATGGAAAACTACAAAATTTGACTAATTAGAAAATTTTATTTAAAGGGAGGTAGAATGATGAAAACTATAAACTACAAAAAATTATTTTCCCCAAATTTATCAGTCAGAGACAAATATTTATTTATGACAATATACATATTACATACAATATATTACACAATATATTTTATTGTATCACAATATACATCTCACAATATCTTCCTTTTATATTCTCATCATTTAGCCTTTCTTTCCTTCCATCTCAATCTTCTTCACGGCCTTTTTGCCCTCGTTGAGTGCATGAAGACAAAGCTCGCCACGCAGAACCATTTTCGTTGCACTTTGCATATCTCGAAGAGACAGAGTTGGTTTCTTACTGATGAGGGAGAGTCCACCAGCCTCGGAAGCAATGCGATCGAAGAAATCCATACAATAACTGTAAAAAATAAGAAATTTTAGTGACCAAGATTTGAAAAATGTTTAGTATTGGATTTGGGGTCCCAGATATCCGAATATTTCCCAAGACCCCAAATTTTGTGAATATTAAAGTTATTGCCTGTTCATAACATCCATTCCACGCTTCGAAATACGCATTTCACCTTTATGAACATCCTTCAGCACGCGGTAGATGTGCACTCTGAAAAGATAAAAATTGTAATTACAAGTTTGTGTTTAACAAGAAAAACTAACTTGAATGTGCGCTTCGGCTTACGCTTCCTCAATTTCGCACTTCCTCCGCTGCTAACAGAACGACGACGTCCACTTTTTGCCTTCTTTGACGAAGTTGGTGCCTTTTGCCTCTTTGCGATCGTCTTGCGAGCTGGGCTTTGAGCTCTTGCTTGGACTGATTGACCACGAACAGTTTGACCGTCTCCTCCACCTTTGTTGTTGCTTGCCGATCCTTTCTTTTCCTTGGACTTCTTGTTGTCGTCCTTGTTGTTCTGACCCATCGCCGAGAAGATGTAGATTAAGCTGTTGCTTGTTTGTTTGGGGAATAAGAAGATTGAGGTTAACTAACAAGTTTTATGTTTGCTTTTATAGTATTATTAAATTTTAATGAATGTGGATTAGCGTTAAAAAGGCCTTAATGTTCTACACTCACTTATTTGCACCAAAACGGACTATCGATGAATCTGCCACTTGAGTATATCTTTTTAGGGTAGGCGACGACTCAGTATCGGCCGATTCAGTATTTGGGCTTTTTGACCTTAACTTTTTGCTCGATCAATATTTTAGGAGTATATGATTTGATAAGCCTCGTGGTGCTGCATCTTTTTCATAATTGGTCTGACCTGATCTGATCATTCTACAAAACTATTTTGCACCAAAACGGAGTATCGATGAATACTGAATCGGCGATACTGAGTCGGCGATACTGAGTCGTCCCTTACCCCGATTTTAAGCGGCTTCACATTTTTATGGTTTCCAACTCGAATGAAACTATCTATTTATTTGTAAGAATATTGTTTGTAGGAGACTGTCTGTGTTAGTGCCTTAATCTTTGTCATCTTTACAGTAATATATTTTTAAAATTACAGTAATATTTCTAATATACCTATACATATTTAATTTCTTCATATCTCCTAATTAGCGTCCCGAATTGGCGATGTTTGCTTCAATATTAGACAGACCTATCCATAACGGTAAAAGGTCTACAGTATACATTTCAAAACAAGAGTCAGAATTTTTCGCCCTCAAAGCTTCGTCTGAGAATGTTTGGAAGAAGGAGGTTTATTCAAATAAACTTTACATAAAAATTAATTTAAGATGGAGGTTTATCGTACTCTACAATCTATTCCTGGCAATAAATTCACTCGTATACAAGAATTACTCGCCTCTGGTGAACTCCCAGTTTTCTTCAAAAGTCGAGATAGTCTACATAAATTCTACATTCTGACAAGGTTTTTTGAACTTTAAACTTAAAGAATTTATATCTTTTTGAGGTATAATAATCTGAGAGATGTCAAAACATGGCTTAGTCGAATACCTGGATTGTCTGAGGCAATGAGGTTTAAGGCTGCTCGTGAAGTAAGTCCAATATTTATAAAGATATAAACTTGTAAAATGGTCAGGCCTCGAAATGGTCAAATGTTTTATTTATCGGGTAGCCCTTTTGTCCAATTGACCATTTTGGCCCTTACCATTTTTACGTCGAACAGAATAAAAGATTTTAATAGGCATCAACTTAAAATGAATTTTTCTATTTCTAGACTCTCCTTGCCTTGAAGGAACTTCATCTACTTGGCTTTGTCTCAAGGGATGTCAAGATGGAGAACTTTGATGTTCACATAACAAAAGATCATCGTCTGAAATTCTACGTTTATGACTTTGAACTGTCTCAGAAATACAAGGATATTGAAACGGGTAAACCTACTGTTCAGAAAATACGCGGTTCAAAGGGTTTTGGTACTACAGAATCTGCCCCATTGGTACAAATGACTGGATCCAGGGTTTTTTGAAAATTTTTTGAAAATTTTTTTTGAAAATTTTAGCGGACTTTTCCTGTTGACGATGTTGAAGGTTTAAAAATTGGCATTTTAATTATAAAAACAAATTATTTTTAGGATGGTTTTACTGTTTATACCACATTTTATGTGGCTCGATTCCGTGGGATATCGGGTGGCCTGAACCGGAATTTCGTAGATCTACTTATGCGACGACGTATTCGGGGATTCGGTATTTTTTGAATTTTATTTATGTAGTCGGGCCTCGCTCTGTAAGATAGGTTGTTTTAGATTCTAGGGTTCGCGTGAACTTCTCTAACACGTCGCCCTCCCACACGTCACTTCCTTCCATTGACGACTCATTTTGTTCCAAGAGCCTTCAATATACCTAACCGATATCCCCCTAACAAAGCCCTTAAAGCCCCCAAAATACCAAACTGTGTCTTAGTTTGATTTGGCATCCTTTCACTTGTCATCTGAATTGGGGTTGGATTTTTCGAACCGGGCCGACGTTCGAGTCATTTTTTGGGTCAAAGTTCGATGCCCGATTTCTCGAACCGAAGCGGGCCCCCAACCTTAATCTGAATATCTGAGGGCGGGTATGAGGGGGCGTATCGCTCGAGAAGGCTTAACTATCTGAAAATATATTTATTTTTTCTTAAAGTTATACTAAACAAGAAATGCATAAAACTGGAAGAATTTATTGGTATGTTGATTTACTTTAAATTTCTAAACATTCTCCTTCAGTGCAAAGAAATACGATTGTCTAATGAGTGCAATCTTCAATGTAATCCTTAAATGGTTGAAAACACCGGAAGTAGTAGAGGCGCGTTTCTATGATGAGGTTTTTTTATTTTATGCGATTTATGGGGAACTTTAAAGCCCCACCTCCAAATCGATGGGGTTTCGTTTTCCATACATATTATCCAAAACTTTAGAAAAAACTCTAAATTTTACCAAAATTTATCTAAATTTTACCAAAATCTCGAATTCTACTAAAAAGAAAATCCCCTCATAATTTGTCTCACAATCAACCTTTTTAATTTAAATTTCCCGCAAAAAATAAATTTCAGATATGCTCAATTTTGAAGAGAGGAGTGTACAACTGTGGAAAAGCAGAATTGATGGATTGCAGCATTCACTGCTCGAAGCATTATAAGAAGCATCAACGTCATGACGCTTAACAGTTTTATTAAAATATATTTATTTTCTAACATTTATTTACTATATTTATTTCACATCCATTCTATTTACCCCTATTATTTCTGTTATTTTTTAGCCCTGTATGGTGAGAATTGGATTCGTAAATATGTTTTGCATGATCTTCAAAATAAGTTTTTCTGTTGTTATTCTGTGTGAGCTTTTTTCTATTCTCATTTATTTTGTTTTGAATAAATATGTTTATTTCTGTTATAATTTTCAAAGTGATCTTAACAATTTCCTTAGGGTTTACAATTTTCGTTATCCAATAAGAAAATGTTTTAAAAAAATTCCTTAACCTTTTTTGAATCGACTGAAATTGAAAGGCCCGTCGAAAAATTAAAAATGAAATTATCCTACATTTTTGATAAATTTTTAATTTGTTTTTAAATTCTATTTTTTACTATGAGGGTATAGGAGATATCTGAGGATTTAGAACTTGGGGCGCAGCCATGATTCTTCCCACACAAAATTCGTTCCAAGGGTAAAAACTGACGATTTGTCCAACATAGCAAAAAATCCCTAACTCGTCCATCCAAAATTCGTCCCAGCTCAAAATGTCCAATAGAGAAAAAAAATACTCAATTCGTCGACTTAAAAAATGAGAGTAATCCTAATTAAAATTTGTATAAAGGATGCGCAAATTACCGCTTTTCTTTTAGCTGGTATTCATTTTGAAGGAAATTTATATGTAATTCTTTTTTCCAAGATTCCTGGATTCTAAGAATTTTTTGATACCATACATATAATAAAAATTCGGTCCTCAGGAAGCAAAGAAAACGAGCCCGAACTCTAGAAAATTTAAAAACATTTTTCCATACCAAAGTTTAAGATTATAACTTCGTTCAAAATAACTTAATTTTAATGATTTTGGTACCAATTAACTTGTCTCTTTCAGGAACAGAATGAAGTCCGCAAAAAATTAATAGATTTTTTTGAAAATTTAAAAAGCTCGAAATTTGGAGGGATTAAAGGGGATACGGTGGAATTGGATCTCTTAATCCACCAAATTATTGAACATCTTCAAATCGCGCTAATTTCGCTATACGAGAAATTTTACCCGAAATTTTTGGCGATTTAAACTTATGTAAGTACAGTAGGCAACTTGGGCAGTGAGTGAAATTGTCAGAATAATTTAGGCAATATTTTAGAAATTTAAAATTTTCTCCAAAAAGAATTTGATAAACCGCAAAATACTACATTTTATATACACAAAAATATTCAATATGTACAATACATAAATAGGTACAATACATATCACAATATTACAATTCAATCAAAATACATATATATCTGAGATAAGGAATTATAACACACAAATACCTAGGTGTATAGCCTAACAATAATATATACAACACACAACATTGAGTATAGAAGGGGGACAAAAGAAAATATACAACAAAAGGTGCAATTTAAGGATTTTGAGGGGGAGGAGGAGGAGGAGTATCAGGAAGGCCAGCAGACACGTTCTCATACAATCCACTCATCGTTCCAAGATTCAGAGCAGGAAGAGGCGCTGGTGGTGGTGCAGCAGTTGGCGGTTGTCCTTCCGTGGCTTTCTCGGTTGGAGCAGCAGTAGTCGGAGCCAATGGCGCAGGAGTGCTTCCTTCTGTCTTCGCTTGCTGGTCCTTTTCTTCCTTCTTGGGCACGGCTGCTTCTTCAGGCTTGGTGGTGATAGCCTTTACTTCTTCCTTCTTTTCTTCTGGCTTTTTGGTAGTCTCAGCAACCGGCGCCGCAGGAGCCTGCACGTCTTCTTTCTTCGGTTCACCAGCACTCTTCTCAGTTTCCTTAGATGGCCCTTCAGCTTTTGATCCTTCCCTTTTAGACGACTTGACTCCACTTTTGCGCTTGCTGTGCCCGACTTTTGTTCCGCTTGTGGTCCTCTTGCTGGAAGAAGCCTTCGTCCCGCTTGTGGTCCTTTTGCTCCCAGAAGCTTTCGTCTCACTTTTGGTCCGAGCGCTGCGCTGGCTTCCCTCTAAAATAAAAACATTTTAAGAAAATTAAAACAGACGGATATTCCTTACTTTTCTTGTCTTCCTTCTTGCCTGCAGGGCCAGTGTCGACGATAGCGGTCTTTGTGCCATCACCAGCCTTCGATTGAACAGCCGTACTCGATGTTGACTTTGTAGCAGCTGCCTCCTTTCCTTTGTTCGGAGTCCTTTTGCTCGAAGACTTCGTCCCGCCTGTGGTCCTTTTGCTCCCAGAAGCCTTCGTCTCACTTTTGGTTCGAGCGCTGCGCTGGCTTCCTTCTAAAATGAAACATTAAGAAATTTAAATCAAATGGTTTCCTTACTTTTCCTGTCTTCCTTCTTGCCTGCGGGTCCGGTGTCGATAGCGGTCTTTGTACCATCACCAGCCTTAGACTGAACAGCCGTACTTGATGTTGACTTTGTAGCAGCTGCCTCCTTTCCTTTGTCCCGGTGGCTCTTGCGCTTGCTTGCCTTCTTTCCTTTCTCCCCTCCACCTTCAGTTGCACCTAGAATTTTAATGAATTATTTATTAGCTTTGCACAAAAATCAAGTCTATTTTGTGTTTACCTTTCTTTTTGTCAGCAGCCTCCTTCTTCTTCTTATCATCTCCTTTTTTGGGTGTTTCAGCTGAAGTTCCTCCTGCCTTCTTCGTCTTCTCCTTGGATTTTCCTGAATGCTTGCTGCGTTTGCTTCCGCCCTTCTTGGTCTCGCCTGAAGTAGCTTCAGCAACCGTCTTTCCAGCCCCCGCCTTTGACTTGTCGCCTCCCTCTTTCTTCTTAGCATCACTGCCGCGCTTGCTCGTGGACTTGCTCTTATGACGAGACTTCTTTTCATCAGCATCTTTAGCTAAAAAAACAAGAAATTTTTAATAGAAAAACCAAACTAACAAAAAATAAATTTACCTTTTTTCGTCTTTTCCCCTTTTGCAGGTGTTCCAGCAGCAGGAGCAGGACTTTTGCTATCCTTGCGGCCTCCACGCTTGGAAGTTGACTTCGCTTTCGATGACTTCTCCTTCGTCTTTTCAGGCTTTTTCTTGTCCGCACCTTCGGCATCCTTCTTAGGCTCTGTCACTGTTGAAGGAGATGGCTTTGAAGATGGAGGAGGCTCAGCAGATGTAGATTTTTTCTCGGCAGATGATGTTTCAGAAGACGGAACTGGAGCAGGCGGAAAGACTGGAGGAGGCTCAACATGAAGAGGGAGAGGGCGCTCATCTTCGACGACAATTCGCAATTCCTCGTCTTCATCCAGCAAGGCCATGGTGTCGACTGTTTTGGTAGAACGTTTGGAACGTTTGCTTCTGCGTCTACTGGGCTCCGGCTCGACAGGGTCAACATTCTGAAAAATAAAAAAATTAATAGAAACGCCCTTTAAGCATAAAAAAGAAAGTTTCAATCACCTTTCCAGCTTGTCCTTGATTGAACATGAAGAATCCAGCAGCCAGCAGAGCTAGAAGAAGGAGCAGGAAGAACATCCTTGGGTTTTATGTTGTTTTTGAAGTTTTGTTGTTTGAAGAGAAATGAAGATTTGATGGTAGGTAATCCTCTGGGAAGAGGCCGGTTTTTATAGTATGGAAAAATCTTTTGAAACTCAATCCCGTTATTCGATCACTGGAATTTTTCTTTAATTTTTTAAAATTTTTCTTTAATTTTTCTGCAACGTCTACATCGGCAACCCTCGGACATCACAATTACGCAGTCGACAACGAAAAGAACCAGCTCGTCTACAGAACGTCTACAGCAGCGTCAACGATCGTCAACAGCAACATTGAGTGAAATGTGACGAGGTGTAGTAAATTGCTTTAAGCAATTGATGAGTGAGTATTTGGTTGTAGAGTGAGGACTGACGTCGAAGTTGAATTATCTGGCATTCATGAGAGTGTAGTCCAGATTGTAAAGTAAATTTTGGCATGAAAAAGAAAAAGTATGATAATAGGCAGCAGAAAGCGTAAGACCAAGTAAGGGTATTTTAAGTAAGGGTATAAATACATATACCCAGAGGATAAAAATTGGAATAAATTTGGCTTAAATCTGAAATTTTTACCTGTAGCACAAAAGGAGGAAGCCTTGATTTGAATACAAATATTCAGCAATCAATGAGCGAAAAAAAGGAAAAAAAGGAAAAGATATCTACAAATAATCCCTTAATAATCCCGAATCCTCCGTGATCCCCCTGTATCCCATATACTATATCATTCCAAATTATTATCCAAATCATCATCATTACATATCTTAAATTTATATACATATTTACATACTATTTATACATACATATAAATACAGTCACGGAAAAAAGACAAGCATTTGTAAAATAAAAATTTTAAATTTTCTAAACAATAAAAAAAGTTAATGTCAAAATTAGGAAGTAAATTATGAAGCATTAAAATAAATAAATAGTAAATATTTGTTATAGCTTTAAGAAAATATTTTTTAATTTTGTCATTTTTTCCTTAGTAAAAGTAGATCAACAGTTTCTGTTGTTAAAAGTGGAAGAACTAAATCACAGGTTAAAAATTGTATTGACCTTCCATTGATCTTAAAAATAGTTTTTAAATTTAAATTGAAAAATTTTTTTAAAAATCCCTATTTTTAGCCCCTTACCAGTATTCGTACTTAGGAAGGTTGTACTTAAAAATAGTGCTTCCCGTTATGATTCACACTGTAATATTTACCTGTAATATTCTATCTCTAGGTTGTATCCTTCCACATTTCTCAGCTGGTCCATCCTTAACTAACGAACGAATATAAATCCCTGTAGGTGTTAATTGTATAGTATTTTTCTCATTTATTTCTTCAATTATCTCATTCTCTTCTCCAATAAGTCCATCACAAACAGAAAACCCAAAACTTTTTGTAAGAGGGCATCTTTTCAATTGAACACTAAAAACTTCACTAAATTCATCTATTTCGTTTTCTTGTTTTAAATTATTTAATGTACAAGAAGGAAGTGAATTTGTTGAAATACTTTTTTGTGAGGAGGTAAATGTTGATGATTGTGTTATTGTAAATGGAGGAGGGTCTGTTGTTGAAATACGTGGAGAGGGCATTGCTGGTGGAAGTTCTCCATTTTGTTGTTGACTTTTTTTTTAATTTTAGATTTATATAAATATTAAAGACTATTTATGTATATTAAGCTAGAAATTAAAGAGGAATAAAATAAATAAACTTTGAGATTTGTGAAATTTTTACTCAAAATTTCGCAGAAAAATCTGAAAACCGAAAATTGCAGAGTAGTCCTCAAAAATTAACCGGATTCAGGGTCCACAAACTTTTAGTATTTACTTTTAAAACTGAAACACTCCCCCAATTTTCTTTCTAAAATTATAAAAAAATCACCTCCTCAACATAGTAGGAGTACCGGACCGAGAATGATTAGCAACAACGTATTTTTTATGAAGTTCTTGAGATGGAAATATTTTTTGTGTTTGTTTATCAACATTTATATTATCAACGACATCATAATTATTGTTAGTCGAGATTAATTGTTGATGAGAGAGAATATTTCCTAACTCAGAGGGAAACATTTGTTGAAAGCCGTATCTTAAATTTTTGAAGAAATAAGAGTGGAATTGGGATAACTGGTGGGATTTGGGGGGGGGGCACTCTATTGTCCACTAAACTCACACAAAGGACAAGAACAAAAAGTTGTTGTCCTTACTTCGATTTATTATTAGAAGGAGTAACATAGTTAGAAGCACTTCCATTTAAAATACATTCTTCCAATTTTCTAAGCATTTCAGCTTCACTAACCACTTCCAACGCTTCAAGTATTCTCATCCATTCGTTATCATTTTCTTCTTTTCTTCCTTTTCTTTCAGAGGAAGAATTTGGGGAATTTGAACAACAAAAAGAATGTGTTCCACTTCCGTCAATTTCAAATTGACATTCACAACATTTTGTTTGAGAACTTGATTGAATACCGCCAGGTTGACTGTCTGTTGCGGCTGCTGAACTTAAACCTGAATCTAAACCTCCATTCCCTCCTCCATTGCTATAAGGGTCAGAATATGTACTGAATATTGGATCTGTTGCTGAAATAAATATTTAATGTTTTTTTTTGATAAAATTTTTTTTATATATTAAGGGATTGAAAGGTGAATAATTGAGAAAAAGAGAGAGGAGAAGAAAAGATAAAGATAAATAAGATCAAAGGAAAAAATAAATGAATAAGATTAAAAGAGTAGACCAACTTTGTTGTGTATTTGTAGATGTTGAGGGACGACGAAGTGAAGAATATCTTGGAATTATTTGCCTTCCTGTAGGTGAACCCTTTAAATAAATTAAATTAAGAAAGACTTTAAATTAGTTAGTCGTTTAATTATTTAATAAATTAAATTAATTTTTTAGTTTAAGAGTATGTAAAATAGTATGAATTTATATTTAAAAAGCACCTCTAAAGTATCCATTGCACTATCCACACTCTTTTTTGGTGTTGAATTAATTCCAACTAATTTTTTATTATTTTCTTGTTCTAATATTGCTGTATTTTCAAATTTTTTAAAATTTCGACAATCTTTAAATAAAAATTATTTTTAGATTTTGAAATAAAAAACAACAAACAAGGCAATCTAATATCAGTATTTGGAGCTATTGGACGGCTTAATTTAAGAGAAATTGGGTCTGGGCATTGTTGTAGAATTTGTGTTACTTGGCTAACCTTTAAAAAATATTAAAATTAATTTCCAATAAAAATATCCCCCTCTCACCTTTTTCCCTTCTAAAATTTCCCCATTAACTGCAATAATTTGATCACCAATATTTAAAGCTCCTGTTCTAAATTTTTTTCAAAAAATTTTTCAAAAACCCCAAAAATTACCTTTCTGCCAATCCATTAGGTGCTAATTTAGAAATAATTATTGGATCTAGAGAACCCCCAGCAGAAGCTATTGTAATACCTAAAGGCCTTCCCCTTCTCAATAATTCAACAGTATATACAAAAGATTGGGGTGATTCTAATAAATGCTAAATTAAAAGGGAATTTTAGAATTCTTTTCCAAATTTATATTTACTTGTTCTTGTCCACCTCCTTTAATTATAACTAATTTAACTATTCTAGCAGATCTTTGTAATAAACGCATTGCCTCATCTAAAGTACATGTATCCAAAGGTATATCATCAATAGAATGGATTTGGTCACCAACTTGGATTGATCCACATCTTTTTTTTTTTAATTTATAATTTTAATAAAAAACCCGGATAAAGTTTGTGAGTTAAGGGAAACTACATATTTTGAATGATCCATTGAAGAGTTAAATTTAACTAGAAAACCATCGCTAACTTCATAAAATGAGGAACCACTATTTTTTCTATCTTTGTATCGTTAATTAGCATATTGAATCCCATATTTTCGGATTCAAGACTGGCAAGGCGGCAACTCATATTTTTAGAATATTTTTATGCCAAAATTTAATATTAAAAATATATTACTACCTATGTGCAACACTTCCAATTCGAATATGTGAAATAATTAAAGGTTCTCCTTTAGCCGTTCCATTTTGATGACTTTGGCAAACAATACCAAGACATTTACCACACTTAGCTAATCTCATAACAAAAAAGGAGCCGTGTGCTGGGGGAAGGACAGGCTGAAAATGGATATGAGAAAAATTTATACTGAAAGGAATTTCACTCAAAAATTAATAATATTAAGCCGGATCATACTATAAGACATACTCTTGAAAAATTGTATATATGTTTAGACAGAGTTCGCTACCCCAGTGGCCAACCAACCTTTCAAACTTAAAAAAGTATCATAAACTGTTATCTAATTTTGGTATAGTGAAATTCGACTGCATAAAACATTAAATTTTCTTTTGAAAAATAATTTTAAAAATTATTATGAATCACCTCAATAACATTAAATTCAACAAGAAGAGTAACAGAACGACTGCCAGAAAGAGAAAGAATTCTTAGTAAATGACTGGCTTCTTCTAAAGTGCCATCAGCTGTGTGCCAGTCATCAATACAGAGAATTCTGTCCCCAGGTTGTAAAATTCCACATCTAAGGAAAATAATAATTTCGATAAGCTTAATTTATTCAATTTATTAATTTCTACTTATCAGCAGGAGATCCTTTTTCAATATGCCCAACAATTAGAGAAGTCCCTTCATTTCCTTCTAATTCATCTTCCTCACCAAAATCATTTTGTTGTTTACCCAAAATAATTCCGAAAGAAGGCCAACTTTGTGTTGTTTCTTGAGCTAGTGATAATTCCATTGTTTCTGTATGATTAATAGATCCATTAACACGTGAACCGTTATATGAGAGACGAGCGGAAACTGAGCCTTAAATTAGAAAAATTTGAAAAATAAAGTACATAGAATGGACGGATTATTTCAAATTGGGATGAGTAAGGTAGGTGGTTGTAGGAAATACTTTTAATATCCGGGAACAAACAGGCGAACCCAACTGAAAAATCCTCGGTTCTTCCGTTCGGCTGATAACTCTAGTATTGAGAACCATACAGCCAAAATAGTTGATGGCACTAATTAAGACCCAGTAACTGTTTTTTATGTTCAATAGGGTTTAGTTTTGTCGGTAAATATCAGTCGCAAAATGTCGCTGTGCCAATTCCTTCCCTCAAAATATTTTCTAAGAAAAAATAACTCACTAACGGTTCCAATGCCCAAAAGGCCAGTATAGTGAAAACATACGTGGAACATTTTTTAAGAAAAAAATACTAATTGTAAGAAAAGCCTAAAAGAAACTGTGGCAAAAGTGAAATAAATGTGAGGGTATAAAATGAAAGGATTATAAAGAGAAGATTGATTGCAAAGGAATTGGAGGAATTATTATTAGTATATTGACCAATATAAAGGGATTTGGAAGTTAAGAGGCTTCATTTAAGAATAATAAAAGGGAGAATAAAAAATTAAATAAACTTCTAAGAAATTTTTTTGAATCAAATTTTTGTTTTTACTCAAAATTTATTCAAAAATTAAACTATCAAGAGAGGGAAGGGCATTTTGGGAATAACTTAAAGGAGATCCAACTATTGTGATTAATCCTTCCTCCAAATATCATATTCCTCAAAATTCTTTTTAAATATGTAAAAGATTTATTTTCGGTATACTTTGGATTTAAAAAATAATTTTCAAAATATTTTAAATATAGAATGGGAATGGATTGAATTTTCGATTATTTCTCGAAATATTAAAATAATTGGGATTGTTGATTAAAAATAAAAGAATTTTTTAAACATTTTTTGATTAATAATTGAATTAAATAAACAAAACATTTCTTGTTTTTTCAACGTTATATGTAATCTCCAAATATCAATCAAAAGTAGGAAAACTTTTTTTTAATTTTCAAGAAAAAGATGGACTTCTTTTACTTGACCAATCTTTTCTTTCTTTTTTTTCAAAAAACTTTTATTTATTTTGTTGGGTAATGAGGACCAAATGGAAAATCAGAAATTGTCATAAAATAAATTTTGACTCAAAAAAGAATTTGTTTTTGACTGACCTTTTCTTTTTGATTTTGATGGAAATTTTTGAGAAGAATAGAAGGGGGGAAAGTTGTTAATAAAAAATAATTTATTTTTATTCTTTTCATTTAAATCAATTTCATCAAATTCGAGAAAATTTTGTGACAATCTGTAAAAATATAAATGTTTTAAATGGAAGGGAATAAAAGGGTTAAAAAAGCTTAAATCTCCAGATGATTAAGCTTTGATTTTAAAAATTAATTATTCTCCTCACTCACTTTTGACATTCTCCATTTTGTAAATCTATTTTCCCTCTCATTTCAGCAGGTAATAATTCAAGTCTTATTAAAGAACTATGGCTATTTAAAAGTTGATAAACTTCGTTTAGACTAGAAATTAATTTTAAACTAATTAAATCTATTGACATTAATTCGTCGTTTGGTTGAATTGCACCACATCTTTAAATTTTAAAATTTTATTTCTTTTTTAGTACATCAATAAAGGGGGGTTTGATGTAAAAGATACCTCCAATTTTATACATCGAAACTGGAGGTATCTAAAAGTAAATCTATTTTTGTCCAATGATCAAAATATAAATTTTCAAATATTTCTAGCTCATAAATCAAAGAATAAATCTCCAAAATTCAAATTTTCCTCTTACCTTTCAGCAATAGAAGCCGGCACTAACCCCTCAACTATAACAGCTCTTCTACTTCCAGTTGGCCATATAGGTACTTGTTTAATAGCTAATTCAATACCAAAATCAACGCCTGGGGTTTTCTCTATTTCAACTCTCAAAGAATTTGGTACTTTGCGCAGTGAGGCTGAAAATATATGAAAATATAGTCATTGGAGGTATTTAAAATTTTGGAAGTATCACTTAATTAATTATCGCCCTATTTCACCCTGTGGCCAACCAAATTTTAAAATATTTTCAGGGATATCTTTCAAAGGTTATATAAAATCAAATTCTGAATATAACATCCCTCTCTCTCTCTCTCACTTACCTAAATTGCAAGTATCATATTCCACAGTTAAATTAACTTTTGATTGAGGCGAAGTTTTAATTAAATTAATTGCATCAGAAAGAGTAGAATCATTCACAGAAATCTTTTCATTTAAAATTTTTTTTAAATATTTTAAATTACTTATATTTACCCCATTAATAGCTACAATTCTATCACCAGGTCTAATACGTCCATCTCTGTGTGCCGGACCTCCAACACGAATTGAGGTGATTGTAATAGGCTTATTTTTGTTTAAATCCGGTCCAAAAGCCCCTCCTCTAATTACAATCCCAAAAAGTCCAAAATCCCCATCTGATGACATTTGATCCCTTAATTCGATTTCTGTTGCCTTTGTAATTATTCCTTCCTTTCTATTAAGTAAAAGTTCTTCTCTTTGTTGTTCATTTAAATCATATTCTAATTTTAATTCTAATAAATTATTTCCACGTAAAAGAGACAAAACTTTTGAATGAGTCAATCCTCTATTTACTTTAATTCCATTTACTTCTAAAAGTCTGTCACCAACCTTTTTTTTTAATTTTAATAATTAAAAAATTAAATTTACAAATATATATTTACTTGAATTTGATCACAACGTTGTGCAACAAATCCCGGTTTTAGATAGGAAATTGTTGGTGGCATTGGCCTATCAGAACCTCCTTAAAATTTTTTGTTCAATTTTTAGAAAAAATAGTTATTTTAGAGAATGATTAAATATCTTAAAGAGTTTTACTAATCTCACTATAAGATTTATTCATAACCAAGTCCTATTTAAAATTTATATTCACCAGCAATTCCAAGCCCCAAAGGTTGACCAAATTTTTTACGAATTGAAACAGTTAATTGCCCACAAATCGAAGGTTGGTAGTCCGTCGAAGTTGAAGGCTTTCCAGGGCAAGTACAGCAATCCCAATTTTCGTTAAAACTCGAGGAATTAGAAGAACCATCAATGAAAGATTCTAAAAATATTTAAATTATATTTGAAGTTTAGAAGATTTCTTAAAATTTTATGGTTATCTTCATAATATGTATAGCAAAACAAGAACCTTACCGAAGCCGTAAATACATAGGAAGATTGGGATGGACGGGATAGTCATAGGAATAACATGGGACCCTTAGACTTAGTCTCATAATAAATCACACCAGATTTTGAAATTTTCTTCTTCCTTACTTTTACTCATTTTATTCCTTTCCAACTCTCTCCTTTCAATCTCATTTTGCTGTTGTCCCCAATTAAAATATTTTTCCAGAAATAAATAATATTCTGTTGGGGAATGAATTGGAATACCAAATAATTGATAATTATTTTGATTATTCCCCTCTAAGGGAAAATAAGGACGTTTTTTAAAATTATTTTGCTTCCTTCTTTTCCTTCTCATTGTAACCCAACAACAAAAAGGGCCCCACAACTTTTTTATATGATGACGAGGTCTTTCTTGTACACAAGAACTTGGAGTAGGGACAATTATTGAAGGCCACATTGGTATTAAATAAATAAATCAGACAAAGAAATGGAAAATTTTTTGGGCCAAAAAAGGCCAAATAATTTTTTGTATTAACTGTAAAAAGAAGAAAAAATAAAATAAGGAAAGAATTGTTTTAAAGCTGCGAGAAAATAGCATATAATTTATAATTTATTTATCAGGCCCACATAAGCGTCAGACTTAAGCTGACCGAAAGGTGGCACAAATGAGATCTGACTCTCACTTGTATGACACTCACTTTAATTTTTCTATCGAGGAATGTCGTATAAGTAAGATCCGACTGTAATAAAAATTTTAAAAAAATTAAAAATAAAATAATATTTATTTATTTATAACAAGATGGAGAAAAAAAGGGAGGGAGGGGGAAGGAGGAAAGAAAATCTTAAGGGATTATTTGTTATGTTTATCGGAGGAAGGAGGTGAATGTGTGAGTGTTTGTGGGGGAAAGGAGAACAAACTAAAAAATGCGAGAAAAACAAGGAGTTTAAGGCAACTTTAAGACAAAAAGAAAAGCTAATAAATACACACATATATTTTTAAAGGCCACAAATCATTTTATGTATATTTTTCAGCTTTTTTCTTAAATTTTTAGATTCTGGTATTGAATAATATGTAAATAAATATTCAAAAAAAAATTTGAACAAAAATTCGAATAAATTCCTTAATTCGGATAAAAATATTCTAGGTTAAGGAAGGCTATCTAAAGTTAGTCTCCAAGATTATTACAGTCAGACTTTACTACATTTTAAATTTAATTAGAAAATATTCGATTGATAAAAAAATACCAATCAAATCTCCCTAAATGATTAAAAAATTAAATTCAAGAAAAAATCCCTATCGTCAGTCATGAAAAACAAAAAATTATTTTTTCCGGTTAAAAAAATTCGATTTTTATTCTTCTTATAAAGTTTTTCCTTTATTTTTAACGGTCGTCCACCTGATCGTTCTTCTCTCGATTAATGAGGGAGAAATGAAATTAATTAATTGCTCGATCGGAAATTGAAAGAAAAAAATATTTTTATTTAAAAGTTTAAAGAAAAGCTTTAAAAGAAGAAAGAAAAAAGAAAGGAATTACTAAATTGTTTAAATAAAAGATTGGCAATTTTAAAAGATTTTGTTAGTTGAAAAGGTTATTTATTAATTGTTAGGGATAAATATGTTTATTAAATAGCCAAAAAAAAGCATTGAAAACATTAAATTTAATTTAATTTAATCTTCGAGGTTAAACTAATTTTCCTATAAATTTCCAAATTTTTCAAGCATTTTAGATTATTTGCGGAAGCCCTCAAGACATAAAGTCTATTTATATTCTATCCAGAATAAAAATAAATCACAACAGCACTTGATAAGACCCTGTGGCCGATTGTTCTAATTTTAATAGAAGTTAGTTTTTGGCGGCAAATTTCATTAAACCGATTTTGTGATAATTATCAAAACACTCCAAATTAATTTCTTAAATAAATCTTTTTTTAAAAGTTATGAGAGAATAAATGAACAAAAAGTTAAATTTTTAAAGGAAATATTTTAAACATATTTTTGTAAAATTAAATGAAAACAGGAAACGGAAGAATAAATAAATAAAGTTTGTTTGGCTTGTTTGGCATGAAAAAAAGTCAAAATGAGGAAAAGAAAATAAAAAAAAAGTTTTTGGCGCTAGACGAAATTTATGGGATGATTCGGAGGGATGGTCATTCAGAGGAGGGAAATGAATGGTATAAAAAAAGATGGATGGATAGAAGAATAAATGGCCTTTTCTTTATGTTGATTGTTAGGTGTGGAAAAGGAGGAAATAAAGCAATTTTGGGGGGGGGGGGATGGTCAAATGAGGGGAAATTGACAGCAAAAAGGTGTGATGAGAAAAATGTTCCTTATCCACTAAGGGTAGTAGAAAGGAACAAACACTGAAATTTTTTTGTAAAAGTATTCAAAATCAGTCAAGAGGTCATTTCAATCCATCTTTTTTCTAGTCACAGTTTTAAAATTCTGGACAATTTATCGGTTAATGGGCTAAGAGCGAAATTGAAGAAGAAAATAAAGGAGTGAAGAAGTCTTTTGTATATGTTTGAGTTAAAAGTCTTTAAAATAATTTAAGAGAAACAATTGCGCAGAAAATTTGTTAACAAGCACGAAACAAAGCTAAAGAATGGGAAAAATGAAAATAAAAATGATTGAAAAAATAACATTCAAAGAAAGGATAATGGGAGGGGGGGTGGAAAACTCACAAAATGTTTTAAACAAAAAAGACTGGACAATAAACACCAAAAACAACCCTCTAATTATACTGAGAAGAAATCTCGAATTTAGTTAAATTATTTAAAATTTCTATAATTTTTCTATTTCCGACGCAATAAATTTAAAAAAACCCCAGAAAAAACACTAAAAAATATGTGAAAATAATGCTAATAAAATAAAAATTCTTTTCCAGATTGCAACAATTTTTGGAAAGAAGAGGAAATCTTTTAAATAAAAAAATATATTTAAGAAAATGATGAGGAAGGAAAAATTTAGATAAATAAATATTTATAAATGCTTCTTCTTCTTTCGCTTCAATTGCGTGCTGAAATCTCCCTAAACGAGGGTGTTGAATTTGGCATTCTTTTTTGTGGTCATTTTTATATAAAACCATTTTTAGCCATTTAATTTTTATATAAATCTGGGGCTTGCTTTTGCTGCTCTTTTCCAGTTTACGACAAATTGGATTTGGAGGAGAAAAGAATAAAAATATATACAAAATTAAAAAGCCGCCGCTTATTCCTCTTTTATAACGTTTAGTTTGTAATTCTTTTTAAAATTGACTGGACACCCAACAGTGTGGTTTAGAAAAGTGATTAATTGAATTTTTGAAGAAAAAAAATGAGTAAAAAGAGGAAGAAAGTAAAGGGAGTTAGGATTGAGGGGGAGGGATATATTTTGCTTTTTAAAAATAATAAATGAAAAAGACTGATTGGGTTCAATTGTCCATTTAAAGGAGGATTTGCATAAAATTTAGGTAAGGAAAGGATATGTTTTGGTAAAAAGAAAGGGAGAAGGAGAGGGAGGAGAGGGAGGAGAGGAGAGGAGTAAAAATAAATTAAGAAAATATTTAATTGAAGGAAACAATATGTTGGGATTTCTTGAAAAAAAATATTGAGAAATTTTAATAAAATAAAGAACCTTTATCTTTAGGGGAATTTCTAGACAGATTTTGAGTCGGATTTTATTGATCCTGGTAACCTTATTTAGATATATGTATTAACTAATAGAGATATCAAAACAAAATACCGTATTATCTCCAATAGAATGGCCGGCCATTCTATTTTTCGATAATCCTCCAGTTTATTAGAGATAATGTGGTAACAATAAAATTTAACCGTTTATTTTTAATGTAAGTTTTCAATAGAGAAATATTTATTAAAAATTATCAGATTGTTTTCTAAAATTCTTTTCATTCCCTTAACCCTCAAATAAGGCGTTTTTTAAATTTTCATAGGACACATAAACAAGTGTTTAGTTATTTAAATAAAAAATCTGTTAAATAAAAATACTATTAATTGAAGAATTAAATAGTAGAAGAGGATTTTTATTTATTTATGTAGTACTTGAAGGAATTGGCACAAATTTTTTGTTTAATTTTTTAGTGGTTTTAGTACTTAAAGGAATTGAAAAAAGGAAGGGGATGTGATAAATAAGTGGCCAAAAATGTATTTATTTATTCAAGACTGAGGGGAATTTAAACGAGAAGGGAATGAATGAATGGATGTTTTTTGACCGGTGCCAAAAAAAGAATCGAGAGAGAGGAGGAAAACAAATGGAGAACAAATAAAAACATACAAAAATTCTCCTTCAAAAATACATATATTCCAAAATTGTTAAAATTCAGACAAATCTCAACTTTATAGACTTTGGGAGTATTGCCTAATATCATGGTATATTTAGGATTTTGATGGTATCACAGTTCTTTATAACTGTGAATCCGCAAATTTTTTGTCCGCAATTTAGCTCTAGCTCCCAATATTCTTTTCTTCCTTTTTTTAGTCTGTTTCCTAAAAGCATTGAACATCTGTCAGTCAAAAAATATATTTATTTATTTTTTAGGTGCGAATGCTGCATTGTTTTTGTTGGCACGAACAATAATAACAAAAATATAATAATGAGATATATATAGTGAGTGAGAAAATAAAAAAGGAGGGGGGGGGGGAGGGGGGGTTATTGAGTAAATTAATATATAAATATGTATACAAATTTAGTTATAATAAATTATTTTTAAAGAATTTTATTAGAGATTGCCTGAAAATGTTAGAAAATTAAAGTTTTTTAAACTTGGATAGTCTGGATGCGTGAACACATATCTAGGCCATACCCTCAATCTAATATACACTTCTGTCCGTTGTATTTTTTAAATTTTGGTAGCTATAAAAATTTTAAAAAAAATTTTAAAAATTCATTTAAAAATATTTATTTTTCCCTTCCTTCAAAAATAAAGTAATAAAAAATAAAGGTCAAAAAAGCAAAAAAAAACCCATAAAAATTAAAAATAAAAGAGCGGGAAAAGCTAAAAATATTTAAAAAAAACCAAAATGGCTATAAAATCTACGAAAATAAAAACGCGCGAATTTATTTTAAATTTTTATTTAATAAAAAAGTATCTAGTATGTGCATATTAGGAATCTTGTTAACAACAAAACTCCATTCACAATATTTGTGGAGGCTCGACATGCTCTCAGCAACATTATAAATTAAATTAATAACAAATAAAATAAATTATTAAAAATTTGGAAATAATCCAAAAAAAGTTTATATTTTAGACAATAGGTGAAACGAAATTTCAATTTCCGTTATTTGAGTATTTCTGACACCCTCAAGCTAATTTTAAATTTTAATTATTAAAAAATAATTTTTAAAAATAAATTTTTTAAGTGAAAATAACTCAATTTTTATAAAATTTTAAATTTATTTTTCCAAAAGTAATTTTGATAATTATCTTTTTAAAAACTTGTTTTTATTTATAAAATAAATTTAAAAAAAACAAATAAATTTTATAAAAAAGGTTATTATTGTTTTTGGACAAACTTCCTACAAATAATTTTCTTTATGTCCTTTAATATTTAATAACCAACTTCGATCAGGTACTTATTGTTAAGGAAAAAAAAGAAATCGGGGTGATAAACAAGAGCGAAAAATACATATACCGAATTTTTTCAAATACGCCCCTCCCAATTAGAGCCCCACTCCCTAATACAGCCCCAGTCTAGAGAACAGTTTACAAAAACAGCCCCATGGAGCTGTATTTGTAAAAATACCTCAAGTTTCTTGTTTTATGGAAATTAAAAATATTTTTTTAAATTAAAAATACCTTTGTCAATTATAGAATTATTTAATATAACAAAACATTCTTCTTCTTCTTCTATTTCTTCTTTTTCATAATTATTTTCTTCATTTTCCGAAATATTTCCATCAAAGTTCATCATTATTTTAATAAGAGTTTTTAATAAATAAAATTAATAAAAATTAAATAAAATGTTTAGAAAAATTTTTAAATTAAAAAAAAAACAAACTTATTTAAATCCAAAAATATAAAATATTTTTTTAATTTTAGATAACTAAAAATAGGTAACTTTTTTATGAAAAACTTTTTAAAATTTTTCAAAAATAACCAAAAATTGCCATTAAATGACCATAAAAATGCCCAAAAATTGACAAAAAAATTTAAAATAAAATACAAATTTTTATTTCCTACTGGCTTATAAAAAAGGAAATAAACGAAAAAAACAAGTTATTTTCCTTTAACAAAAAGCAAAACAATTATTATTAAAGGGATGCAATTATAGACATTTGTGGACAATTTGCCGGCTCGAAACTAAACAAAAGTAATGAGGAATATTTCATAAAACATCAAAAATGGCGAGACCAAGACAATTCCATCAACTAAGAAAAATCCTTCTTCAAGAATCCTGGAGAGCTACAAAAAAGTTCAAATAGTTGTTGGTTACAAAAAAATATTTAATTAATTCTTTTATTTTCAGAAAAATTATTTTTAAAATTGACATTAAATTTCAAGTCGACCAAAGGAAGAAAAAATTATTTTACAAATTTAAAAAAAAATGTATCTTGATTAGTATTTAATTTTGAAGATATCTAAAAATTTTGTCTGTCTATATTAAAATATTTAAATTTTAATTTTTAAACCTTCTAATTTCCAAAATACTAATTAATTTATTTTTTATTTCATTTATTAATAAATATTAACTCCCTCTATCTAATTAATTTTTAAATTAAACATAAATGTTGTCAAAGCAACATAAAATATTTTTTTTGAATAACTCTGAGAAAAAATCTAAACTAAAAATGAAAATTATTCTTTAAAAGCTAAATAAACAATAAAATATTTTCCTTCTCTCTCTTTTCAAGCCTTTTTTTCATTTTTTGATTAAATAAATTAAAAAATAAAAAGAATTTAGATTTTAATGAAATACATATATTTATTGAATATAAAAAATTTTTGAGGTTTCCTTTAAAAAATAAAGACTAACCTCTCACTATAAAATAAATAATTGAGGAATAAAATATCGTAGTAGTACATACGTAGTAGTGTTTATGTATCTTGTTAATTACTTTAATTGTTTTTATTGTCTATTGTAAAATATTTTTAATTCTTAAAAGTTTTCAAATTTATTCCAATGGAACCCAAAAATAATCTTCAATTAATAAAGAATAAATAAATAAAAAAAAAAAAAAAAGAATACATTTCCAATAAAATGTTCTATTTGTGGATATATTGCTAGTGGTTTTATTTATTATAATGTTAAGTGTTGTGATGGTAAAAGTAAAAATATTTTATAAAAAATAAAAATTTTTTTGAAGGTTGTAAACACTTTTTTCGACGTTGTGTTAATGCTAAAGAATTGTTTAAATGTAAATTTGATGGAAATTGTGATGTTATGGCAGGTATGTAATTTGGGACTTTAATTAATATTTTAAAGAAGGTTTCATCAAATTTTTGTTTTTACTTTTGGGAGGCATTCTAAAATTATATGTCGGTCTAGATTTTCATACAAAATTTTTTTGAAAAGTTAATAGGAGGAAATTGAGTAATCTTACTCCACTTTTAGAATAATAAAAAATATCCCTCTCAAATAATTACCCCCCCCCCTTCTCATCTATTCAAGCATTTACTGTAATATTCTTTCGCATAATTCTCAAATAAATAAATAATTATTTTTTTAAAAAAAAGTTCCTAAAAAATGCAAAAGTTGCCGTTTTGATAAATGTATTTTATCGGGAATGAATATAAGAAAATCACAAAACTCCCAACAAAGTAAATCTATATGGGAACTGCGCTCAGTAATTGAACAACGTTTGGGTGAACTTGCTTTGAAAGGAAAATATTGTGTTAAAAAAATAAATGAAAATTATAAAAATACTGAAGAAATTAATTTTTCATTTATGGTAACTTTGATTGGCAAATGGGGAGGGGATCTAAGCGATACCTCCAACTTTTCAGGCGAAGGTTGAAAAAATCATTGAAAAAACCTCTAGTTCCCAACAGGAATGGGATAGACTGAGGAAAGAAGTCGAGTCAGGTTTTTGAAATTATTCAAGTTGGGTTTCGGGTCGTAAAGTTTCGGCTAACACATCCAAACCCTGGTTCCTGAGACTAGTTGCTATAAACCTATTTTATAAAGGGTTAATAATTTAAAAATTAAATGAAAAAATTTTTTTCAAAGCAACAAATATTAATTGAAAATGAAGAAACTAAAATAATTGAAAATTTATTATTATTGGAGAAAAATGTTCGAAGAATTAGAAATTCGCCTACACAAATAACTGATAAACATTATGATTTTTCTTACAAAACACTAAATGAAATATTTAATCGAAAAGAAAATTTAATTTTTTTAAGTCATGAATATTTGGTTTGTTAGTTTCTAAATATTTATAAATAAACTAACCCGGGGGCTTTTGAATAAATCTGGAATTTAATTGCTTCCTAGGCGTGCCATCTGACACTGAAAGATTCGGTCTGGTGAAGATTTTGAGAATTTTGGAAGGCCAAGAAGCTAGATTTCTTTTTTAGCTCCCGATTCGCCCAAGTCAATCTAAAAAACAGAAAAAGTACAGGATATATAGATCTTGGACAACCCTAGTAATAAACTAAATTTTTTAAAGGACGAAGAACAATCTTTTCCAAAACCAGATTATTTTGAATTTATTCACAAAAATGGTCCTTTTGCTTTGCGACCTATTTCATTAATTGAAGATCTAATGTTAATTATTGATGTAGCAAGAACAATGCCTTTCTTTTATAAATTGGAATTAAACGATCTTGTAAATTTAAATAAAAGCTAGGACATGTTTAGATTTTTGCCAGTTTTGAAGTTTATTTTCTAGCGGTTTTTTTGTTTTCAGGATGTTTTTATAATTTTGAGAGAGTTGATTTTGGATTTCTTAGGGTAGCGGTAATAGTTTGGTTCAGACCCCCTTCCCTGACCATTTTTACATATAATTTTATGATAGATCTTTCGAAAGAGCTCTTCGAGCTGGATTGAATGAAAGCCGGATCTGTTAAATCTGATGATTACAAATTTTCGAAAAATTCCCTAAAAATTCCATCCTTAGGAGTGTATGTTTTACATCGTCCCCGATCGGGGATGGATGTCGGGGATTGGGGTTTGTCGGGGTAAAGCCTTAGGGGTTCGGGCGGGGGTTTTGTCTAGAAGATCGTGGAGCTACCCTAATTTAAACTAATAACCTAACAACTTTCGCATACCCAGTAATCGTCTGTCCTAAAAACTAAAAATGTTATAAGCAAAAATCAAAAACACCTTTGGATGCATTTTAGCTAAAATAATATTTTTTAGATATATCAACTTACAAATATAGCTATGGCTATTGCAGCGTTAAATTCCGCCTACCATTCCTATAAAAAATTTACAAGAGCAGTCATATCAGCAGATGGAGTACCTGTAGTTGCAGTTTTTGCTGGAGAATATTATAAAGGAGATATAACGTAAAATTAAAAAATTATTGGTATTACTATAGACTGAGGAGCTTTTACTAATTTATTTGTTATATCATTTCTTCAAGTACCTCAAAACCCCCCTTTAAGTCAACATTAATGCCAAAATATTTAATAAAAAAATATTTTCTTACTTTTTAAAGATTAAATAATTTACTCCAAAAATTATTTATAACAAATATGGAACCTTTCTATCGAGTCCAATTAGATGATGAAGAATATTTACTTCTTCGTTCCATCATGTATTCACATTTTGTTACGAATGGTGTTAGTAAAGAAGGACAAAAAGTTTTACTTTGTGAGGCTGAAAAATATTCTAAAATATTAATGAAAATGTTACAGGTATATTTTAAGGATGGGTTAATTTTAACTGTATATGTTTATCCAAAATTTATATGGGTAAATTAACTGATAACAGGGTGTAGGTTTCGAACAAAGAATTGGGAAATAAAGAAAAAATTTATTTTGGCCGGTAAAATTTAATTTTGACGTTGATATATTTATTTATTTATCTATTAATGGGCGGGCTATATAAAAAATTTAAGGTACACCTCATTATAAGGCATGATTTTTTTAGCTCCAAGGGTGTAATTAAAATCTAGATCCATTTCTTTATTTATTAAACTTAGAATCGTTATGGTCCACTACCAGGTGCTAGAAGATACGCTGAATTGCTTCATTTAATCGAATTTTGCTTCAAAGCTGGAAAAAATATAAGTGATTTTTTCAAATATTTGGTTTATGTATTAGATCGCGGGCGTTTTGAAAAAGTAATGCCTGAACCTCTAATTGATCTTTGTCTTCAATGCAAAAATGTGAAATTGCCAGACCTTACAGAATATTTTTAAAAATATTTTTTGAAACTGAGACTTCCAAAAATTTGTTCAGCACGTTTATGTACATACATATTTTGAAGAGGAATTCTAAAAAATTTAAGACCTCAAAACCAGTTTCATTTTGCATAGAAAATAATTTTACAGTGAATTTTAAATTAACTTTCAACCTCTTCAATGATTTGCATAAATTTTATGATTATTTGTACATTTTTTGGAAATCTTAGCGATAATTTTTATTTTTAATATTTTTAAAAGTAAAGTAATATTTGTTTATTTAAATTCTGATTAAAAGTAAAATATTGCAAGTTTGTAAAATTGACTAGAAAATATTATAACAAAATAAATATACACAACAGTTACTTTCTCTATTTTATATTCAATTTTCTTTCTTGAAAGCGGATGAAAAAATATTTGTTATACCCTTTAGATATCTGTGAAGGGGCGTAAAAATAAAAATTTTAGTTTAATTTGTAAGAATAATTAATTACTTCTCAACCCCAACTATTTGCTTCACAAAGCAAACTAAATCGGGTAGTAATTTAATTTTTTTATTGTGAGAGTAATTAATAAGGACCAAACTCAAGAACCGAAATTTTTGCTCAAATTCTCGGTTTCAATCCAATTTTTAGTAAAATTGAATATAAAATAAAAAAATATTTAGAGGAAAATAATTATTTTTTAATTTAAATTTCATTAAATTCAAGTAATTCTTTTATTTCCTTAAGAGATTCAATTAATTTTAATTTAAAAGATTCTCCATTAGTTCTTTTATTTGATTTCCATGTCGAAATTGCAAAACTACATATATGTATTTATTTTAAACATTTTTTAAATTATAAGAATACAGACAAGTCTAGATTATCTCTTAAATAGGGGGGTGATTAAGTCTACCCCCAGTGACCGGCTTAAAAACTGATAAATTTAGTCGGGTCTATCTTATAATGAATTCTAAATTTAAATAATTTATGTACATTAAAGAATTTGGCTGTATATTATAAGCACATCCATATCCATCATCAACTACAGGGCCATAATAAAGATAACAATTAATAAATTCTGTAGAAGTACTGACCTTTAAAAAATAAAAATTTCTAAAAAAATTTATTTTTCTCCAACTTGGCTAGTAGATAAAGGAAAACGCATCATTTCCTTCCACATTTCATCCCGAAATATTTCTGGCAAATTTTCTAAACCAGATTCTTCCCGACTTAAAACTTCTAATGCACACAAATGATTATCAATTCCATTGCCAATTAAATTCTAAATAAATATATTTTCTTTAAATTAGGTATTTAAAAAAGTGGAAAATTGTTCCATAAATACAATTCTAGATAAACAACCCTCGTCATATTTTATTATTACAATCACCTAAAAATTCAATCCTCACCTAAAGTACTACGAACTTCTCTTCATTAGAATTTATTATCTGGGATTTAAAATATTTTATATTTATCTTGACATTTCTGGTAAATTTCTAAACCAAAATTGAGACACAAAACGATAATATCAGGATACCTTTTGAGATTATTTTCAAAATATTTATCTACCTCTTTAGTAATTAAAGATTGTTTATCAAAAGCCATTTTAAGTAAAATTCTTTTTCTTTTCTTTAAAAAATATTTTTTAAACTAAAATTTTATTTAAAAAAACTTTTTCTTCATTTGGATTATTCATCGATTTTACCCAATTTAAAGCTTCAGGTGTTGCTGCACGTATATTATCTACTCTTCCAAACCTAAATCTTCTCATTGTAGCAGATTCATAGCTATTTACTAAATAACCATGTAATCTAGTTTTTTAGAATTAAATTAATTTGGTGTATTTTAAAAAAACCTAAAATGTGCTAATTGCATACATAATTGCATAAAACCATCTGGACTAACACCCCAACCTTTTATTGAATCCTTCCCAAATTCATTGAATTGTAATAAATTTAATTGAAGATTATTAGTTAATCTAAAAAATTAGTTTTAGATGAGCTTTTGACTGTCGGACCTCATTATAAAATAACTAGATACTTGATAACTTCAATTTAAGACCTATCTCAATTTAAATTATAATTTTTTCAGGTCTATCGAGAAATAAGGTCCGACTGAAGATATAAATTTTAAATAAATTAACTGTTCAAATTCAACAATTTGTTCTCCAAGTAGTAAATTAGCCTTTTCACTGACTACCCAACTTAAAGGTTTTGGCTCAATTATTGTTAAATTATTTTCACATTTTTGTTCTTTTTGTTTTTTCTAAAAATATTTTTTTCAAAAAATATGTATTTTAAATTAAATTTACATTTAATAAATCAAAATTATTATTGGCATATCTCATAGCTTCTTCAGTCATTTTAATATGCACAATTCCTTCAGCAATAGAATGTTCTATACAAGTTCCACAATATCCATTTTTAGACACAATTAACTTTTTTTTGAAATTTTTTTCTTATCTTTACTAAATAAAAGTCGGAACTCATTATGAGATACACCCTTGGGGTGGAAACAATTTAGCCTTTCTTACAATGAAGAATATTATAAATAATAGGAGAGTATCGCCCCCGATTGTTAAACAAGTTTGTCTTAAATTGAGAAATAAATTTAGTTTTGGGTGTAGCCAAAAATGAGGTCCGCCTTTCTAAATATTTACTTGAATAGTTGAATCAAACCATCTATTAAGTCCATTATATTTAGGTCCAAATCCATAAAGTATTTGCATTCCATCAATTTCCATTTGATTTAAATTATTATCAATATTTTCATCATCCAAACACAAAACAAAAATTGAAGAACGTGCTAATTCAAGTGAATTTTGATTTATTTGATCTAAATTAAGATGGGGTTAGACTGAACGTTTGAGGGGTAAGTATGTTATAGAATATTTTCTCTCAGAGCTTTTTCTTTTATTTAAAAAATTTAAAAAAAAATACAAAATAATGTTCAGTAATACTTAAAAATACACGCACAAAAATTTTTCCATTATAATCAGAGACCATAAATTCAGAGTTAAATGAAGAACAGGGTTAATCAGAAGGTAATAATTTAATAATTAACAATAATTAATCAGAAGGCAATTTAACGATTAATTACCAACGCTTAAATCACCCAAAAATTCAATTTTCTCTTACTTTATTTTAAATTAAAGTTCCCTCAAAAATACCTTTATTCATTTCTTCCCAAAATTTAGCAGCTCTATCCCTTCCCCCAGTTCCAGCACCCCCAATAGGTATTATATTTTGAATATTTCTATTTTTAGCCATTTCCATTATTTTCCCCAATTGTTCAATTATTTGAATTAAATTAATTAGAATTCCTTCAATTGTTTTAATAAATAAAATAAATTGTTGATTTTTATATAAAATTAATATATGTTCAATTAATTGTTTATTATTATTATTATTATTATTATTTATTTTTCTTTTATCAAATAAAATATCTTCATTAAATGATGGTTGTCTGTAGAAATTAAATATTCTTTCTTAAAAAATAAATATAATTATTTTAAATTAATTTTAGTTAACAGAATACATGGTTGACAACCGGGAAGCTGTTAAAGATTAAAATATACTTGATTTAAATTTTTCATTCCCAAAATTTTATTTTAAGTAGAGTTAAAATTTGGAAAATGTCGGATCCCGTTTCGGATTAAAAAAATTTTTTTATCCGGACCGGATTTTTGGGATCAAATCCCGATTTCTATCATAATAAAAATAACCACGGGATCCGGTTCGGGTTTCAACTCTAATTTTAAGTGAGATACAAATAATTGTGAATTTGTCAATGAGTGGTTTATCTTAGTCTTAAAAATAATTATTAATCCACAGGAATCACTCAAAATTTTTCTTTTATTAGGCCTTTTATTGAAGTTTTACCGAGACGAGATACAGTTTAAAATCTTGATACCTCTGTTCAACCCCGTTAATTTGTTTTTACTTTAATTGATTACCATATTGGTCCATACACATTGGAACAAATTTCCCACCAATAAATCTATCCGGGACAGTTTCTAAAGGAATTTCTTTTCTTTCTACCTTTTCTCTAAAATCCAAAAATCCTTTAATTAATAATGCTGCATAACTTTTAAAAAGTAATTTATTTAATTTATTTAATTAATTTATTTAATACTTAATTTGTTCTTGTTCATTTTTAAATTCTTGATGAGGAAAAATATAAGCAGGGTTAAAATTTATTGGAAGAGGAAGTCTTTGTTTAAGATACATTTCTTTAAGCCAAAATTGATTTATCTTAAATATAAATTAATTTTTAAAGAGAAATAGAATTTAACTAAATTATAAGGGATAACTAACTTCAGGATTTTTTTAAAACTTGTTGTGCTAAAAGAGAGGACGGGGAGTTATAAGAATTTACACCCTAAGATGACTTTTTAGCCTCGAGGGGTACATCTTATAGCAAGTTCCGAATTTTAATTAATTAATTTACCCAATTATCTTCTTTAAAAGAAATTTCTTTTAATTTTTGTTGCAATTTAGGTCCAATTGTTTCTTCAAATTTTTTAACATTTTCGATTGTTTTATCAAAATCTAATTTATATGTTTGTGCCAAAACGGAAGAATATTCCAAATAACGAGTTAATGTGTGGTTTAAATCAGGAATTGGCGGTTTAAGGAGTAAACACTTAAAAAAATAAATTTAAAAGATAATTATTTATTTTTATTTAATAATAACAAAAAAATTGAATGGGATTACTCAAATTATAAAAATAAACAAATATTTTAATCTTTTCAACGAGAGTTAGAAACCTCTATTCAGTGAACTTTTTAATTTTTAACCAACTAACTGGTACTTAGTTTAATTTTTTATTTATTAATTAGACTGGAGAATAATATAGGTTAGTAGATATGGTTAGCGGGATTTCTTAAATATCTAAAATAATATTGAGATATTAAGGAAAATTAAGGAAATATTTCAGTTTTTTTAAATAACTTTTAATTTTCTCTAACCTGATTCCACCCATCAATTTTCTCCACCAACTTTTTATTTTCCTTCTGAATTTCTTTTAAATTATTAATTAATATATTATTGTTAATAATTGTTGTTGTTTCCATTAAAAAATTCTATTTTTATTTTAATTTTATTTCAAATTAAATTATAAATTTAGAAAAAAATATTTAAATTGCTTTTAAACAATTTATTTATTTATTTACTATTTTTAGTTTAAAAATTTTTTTTAAAAAAACATTTTATTTTCGAGAACAATAAAAGGCAATTAAAAATATTTTTAAAGAAAATTTTAAATAAAAAAATATTTTTATATAACAGTCGAAACTAGTAACTATAAGATACTTTTAATTTTGGATAGAGAGACCTATTTAATTTTTTTAAATTTAATCTGCTAAATGGCTAAATGGCAATACATCCCCCCCCCCCAACTAGACCTCCTCTCATTATTTTTTAGTCTAAAGTTTGTATCTTATAAAAATCTGATTTTATACTTAAAACAATTTAAGAATTATTTTGATAAAATTTTATATGAACCAGAGAGACTAACTAAAAATTCTTAGTAATGCTAAAAAATTTAAAATAAAAATATTTTTATTTAAAATACCGCAAAACTCTGAATAATTACCCTGGGTAATTATTGTTTCGACATTCCGCTGGAGGGAATAATTAATCGAGGGAGGGTAATTATACGAGGTTTGGAATTTTAACGTGTTTTAGGCCATATGATAGGGGGTAATTATTATTTCAATCTATCACTGGATGGGGTAATTAATGGAAGTGGGGTAACTATTGGGGGGTGGGGGGAAATTAATACAGGTTTTACGGTATTTAAAATATTTATTTAAAATATTTTTATTTAAAATATTTCTTTGATGGTCATTGGAAAACAAATTTTAAAAAGAATTTTTTGAAAATAAATTTCACTATGCAAATTTAATAATAAAAATTTGAAAAAATAAGGAATGACATATAAAATTGAATAAAAAAAGGCAGAGAAAGAATTACTAAAATAAATATTTAAAATTAAATTTAAATAAATTTTTTGGGTAATTTAAAGGAAAAATATCTGTAATAAAAGGAGGCTATTTAATTTCGACATTGGCACAGAACCCACAAATTTTTAAAACGTTAAAATACTTTAAATGTTAAAAAATTAGTGTAAATAAATGATTCAGAATTAATTTGTTTTTTTTAAGAAAATTAATTCTTTTGTTTATATTCTTTATAAAAATGTATGTAAAGGTTGGACATTTGGAAATTAGAAACTAAATAAACATTTTTATAAAATCCAAAAAACTTATTGTTAATAATTAAATGAATTAATTTTCGGAAAAGATATTATTCTAAAAGAATGTCTAGGCACAAGATGCACAACAATTTGTGAAACTTTTTTCTTTAAGTATTCGCACTTTTAAAAATTTGCGTTTACTGTCATAATTTAGTCAGTGTCGAAAATCGAGGAAACATTTTTGGGGTAATCTGCTCATTAATCTACATACTCAAAATTTAAAATATATAATTTCACACAAAAATTATAAAAAATATTTTTTTCTTTTTCTAAAATTAATTATTCCCATTATTTTAATTAATTTTTTAATTTAGTAATTTTCTCTAATTTTTAATAAAAAATATATGGGAAAAATATTAAAGAAACTGGAAACATTTAAAAAAGGAAAGCACAAAAATCTCATAAAAATAATTTCTAAAAATCTAAAAAATTTTTTCAAAGAAATGAGCGAATGAAAAATAAAAAGTTTTTTGAAAATTTTTACCATTGAGGATTTAAAGGGTCAAATCCATCATTAGAAGGATTACCACCAAAATTAGTTGTTTGTTGTTGATATCCATTAATATCTTCTTTTCCAATCCATTGAGAATCTGTTCTGTCCAATGGATGTTGTTGTATTTCTTCTTTCTAATAAAAAATTATTTTTAAAATTAATTGAAAATATTTGTGGACAGTGTTTGGAAGTTTATACCAAAATAATTGTATGTATATAATACAAACTTTAGATTTCCAAACACTGATCTCTTTACCCAATTCCCAATTAACTAGATAATAATAAACTCTCAATGTTTTTTAATCGTATCTTATAAGAGATGTATCTTAAATAGAATGTATCGATTGGCCCCCTCCCCACAATATTTTTTGTCGAAATTTAAAGGTTTCGACAGTTATCTACATACACCTGAAATAGATGCTAGAGAATAGAGTTATTTTATAAACTATTTAATTTAATTTTTATATGTATTTTCACCTGATTTTCTATAATATTTCCATTCATTATTTTCGGTTGTTGTTGACCAACAACATTATTACCAGATACATTTTCGTAGCCATGAACTTTTCTTAACGTTCCAATTAATGGAGAATAACCAACATTTAGAATACTTTAAATTTAAATATATTTTATTTTAAATTTTTATTGAATTATTTGGGAGTTTAGATCATTAGAAAAAAACTGTCACTAAAATGGACTTTTAAAAATAAATTAATCTCTAACCAAATAAAAATATTTAAAACAACAAATCCAAGTATATTAACAACTCCCCCAGCAATAATCGGTCCAAAAGCATATGCCAAACTATAAGAAATATCAGCAATAGCATATACAGAACCATAAACAGAAACGTGTCTAGTATCAACGAGAAAGCCTAACATTGGTAATAAACTTGTATCAATCAAAGCAATTCCAAAACAAATTGTTGAAAGAGGAATAATTAATTGGAAAGCACTGGACATGAAAGGAACGGCTAAACAACTTAAACCTT